CTGGAGTGCAGTGGCACAATCTTGGCTAACTGCAACTTCCACCTTCCCAGGTTCAAGTGATTCTCCTGCCTCAGTCTCCCGAGTAGCTGGGATTACAGGCACCCGCCACCATGCCTGGCTAATTTTGGCATTTATAGTAGAGGTGGGGTTTCACCATGTTGGCCAGGCTAGTCTCGAACTCCTGACCTCAGATCCACCCACCTTGGCCTCCCAAAATGCTGGGATTACAGGTGTGAGCCACCACACCCAGCCAATAAAAAATATTTTCCAAAAATTGAACTAGTTGGGCACAGTGGCTCACACCTGTAATCCCAGCACTCTGGGAAACTGAGGGGGGCAGATCACCGGAGGTCAGGAGTTTGAGACCAGCCTGGCTAACATGGTGAAACCCCGTCCGTCTCTACTAAAAATTGCAAAATTAGCCAGGCGTGGTGGCGGGCGCCTGTAATCCCAGCTACTTGGGAGGCTGAGGCAGGAGAATCACTTGAACCTGGGAGATGGAGGTTGCAGTGAGCCAAGATTGTGCCACTGCACTACAACCTGGGTGACAGAGCGAGACTCCGTCTCAAAAAACAAAAAATTAAACTAAAAGATGGTCAAAATATTTGAACAGTTTCACCAAAGAATACACATTAATAGCAAATTAGTTCATTTAAAAAATGCTAATAGGAATTTAGCATGGTCGAAAGCTGCTCTCAGTACAGCTCCAAGAAGCTTTCTTATTTCCAGGGAACATGCCCTAGACACAGGCCTACAATCAACCCTGTGCTGACCTGGTGATCCTCCCACTTCTTCCCAAAATGATTCCACGTGCGCAGGCCGTCCTCCCCTCGCCTGCGGTGGCTGGTTCTCTCTTGCGGTCATGCAGTGGGGTTCCTGAAGACCTTCCTGGATAGCTACTAAGGCAAGTTCATGCATCTGATTAATGGAGGTGCCTCTGAGGCGGTTGTTCACCCTGCCTGTCAGCCATTCAGAGAAGGATCCTCAGAGAATATCCCAGAACAGAGTGGGCGGGACAGCAGTGGCTCCCAGCCTCAAGTGCACAGTAGTAACCCCTGCTGAGTTTCCAAAACACTGATACATAGAATGCACCCTAAATTAATTAAATCAGAATTCCTGGGGGTGGGACCCAGGCATCAGTATTTTTTAAGCATCCTGGAACATTCCACAGTCCAGACCCACTGCAGAGGCACTCAGGCTTGTTCTCTCTCTCTGGCCTTGGTCCCCTGGCCCAGAGTTTGAGAACAGTGGATGTCTGCCGTGTGAGATGGGATGGGTGAACCCTGGAGAGCAAGCGAGACCACGTAATCTCGGATGTGGTGAAGCCCTGCGGGGAGAAGCCAGCCTCTGTGCAGGGTTCTTGTGCTCTGAACGTCATAACCTGGTCTAAATGTTGAAAGGAAAGTGATACCTCCCCACTCACTCCTGAAGGGGCAGGAGGGGGTGGCTGTGGGAGTTGGATCTTTATCTCCAGGACTTGCTCTGTCCTCCTCTGAAGAACATCTGGAGCTTTCTACCCCTTAGAGATATTTATGTGTCTTTTACAGACTGGACACACAATCTCCAGGGAACAGTGGGGTGAAATGGTTTGCCTACATTCTCCTCACACTCAGATTTCTCCCTCCAGGGCCAATTTCAGAGGATCTGAGTTTTTAGTTTGTTCTGGCAAACCTCAGCATCTTTACATATCTCCTCATGATTTGGCTTTTGGCAATAACTGGCTCTGACCTGAGGTGTCCCTCCCTAGCCCTGCCCTGCCCCTGTACTTCTCTAGTTTCTTTTCTGAAGACAACAGAGGGGAAATAGGGGGCACTAGAAAAAGGCATCAGACACAACAGCCTGAACAAAAGTGAAGGTGGTGGCAGCAATAATAATTATGACTATTACTATTAGTGCCGCTGCTAACATTTCCCGAGTATGTGCTTTGTTCCAACCACTGTGCCGGGCACTTTCAGGCATCCTTCTCTTTGTCCTCTCACCAAAGCGTATGAGGCAGGAAATGCAGGAAATAGCATCACCATTTTACCGAGGAAAAGAGGAAAGTCACACTGTGGAGCAATGCTTTGCGCCTTTTTAAAAGAAAGGACTGGCTGGGTGCTATGACTCATGCCTGTAATCCCAGCACTTTGGAAGGCCAAAGTGGGTGGATCACCTGAGGTCAGGAGTTCAAGACCAGCCTGGTCAACATAGTGAAACCCCGTCTCTACTAAAAATACAAAAATTAGCCGGGTGTGGTGGCGGGCGCCTGTAATCCCAGCTACTCAGGAGGCTAAGGCAGGAGAATCGCTTGAACCCAGGAGGCGGAGGTTGCGGTAAGCTGAGATTGCGCCATTGCACTCCAGCCTGGGCAACAAGAGCAAAACTCCGTCTCAAAGCAAAAAAAAAAAAAAAGAAAAGAAAAAAGAAAAAAAAAGAAAAGAAAAGAAAGAAAGAAGAAAGAAAGGAAAGATCAACTGCTTCTCAGGGTCACCTGGGAACTTGCTAGAAATGTAAATATTCTCTGGCCAGAGTTGAATTCATGGGTGTGCAACTAGTGTCGCCACACAGAACGTCAAAGCTGAAGTTTGATTTTACCTTCGAATTTGTGTTTACTAAGTCCAATTGGACAATGGAGCAAGCATGGGGGTTTGGAGACTTGGCTCACAGCTTGCCTCCCCTTTCCACCCTGGGTTCTCAGCACCTGCACCCCATCCTCCACACCCCACTTAGTCTTCCCACCCTGCCCAATGACCACTGCCACCCTCCACTCGAGGTGGCAGCTGGCTTGTGTTGATGAGAGGAGGCTTGTGTTTGCCATTGCCCTCTGTCCCTAGCGGGGGCCTGGGCACAAACACGGAGAGGATCGGGGTTGCATGCACACTGCGTGGTGCTCAGGCCAGGGCCAGGCAGCAGCTGTCCCCACTCTAGGGTGGCAGCACCAGTTCAATCCGTGGGCTACTTATCAGGGGCTTCTTCCCATCCCTGATCCAGGTACTAAGCGTGTCCTGGTGTGAGGCTGCAATTAGCATTGGTGGGCATGGTGGCCTGTCTGCTATGGACTAGGGCACTGAGCCAGTGGGAAGGGGAAATTGACTTCCCCACCCTAGGATGAGACCTCTACATATCCTTTTTCTTTTTTCCTGAGATGAAGCCTTGCTCTGTTGCCCAGGCTGGAGTGCAGTGGCATGATCTCAGCTCACTGCAACCTCCACCCCTTGGGCTAAAGTGATTCTCCTGCCCTAGCCTCCCGAGTAGCTAGGATTACAGGTGTGCACCACCACACTCAGCTAATTTTTGTATTTTTAGTAGAGATGGAGTTTCACCAGGTTGGCCAGGCTGGTCTCGAACTCTTCACCTTAGGTGATCCACCTGCCTTGGCCTCCCAAAGTGCTGGGTTTACAGGCATGAGCCATCCCGCCCGGCCTGCATTTTCCTTTTGCACGAGGCTTTGCAAATAATGTAGCCGGCCATAGCTCTGGCTGGCACAGACGAGCTGAATCAAAGCTGTCATGGTGGGGCCCAGAAATCTACTTGAAGAAGCACTCCAATGATTCTGCTGCATACTAGAGTTTGAGAACCACTGAGTGACAGGGAAGCTAGGGAGAAAACCTGAAGGTGGCCAGACCGTGTGGCCATGGAGAGCGGCAGCTTGGGGGTCCGACAAACCACGACTGAAATCCTAGTGTTTGCTGAGTGACCATAAGCAAGACCCACAGTTCACTGCTGAACAATCATAGATGGGTATATATATAGTTCAGACACACTGGAAGCTATTCCTGAGAGAATGACCAGCCTGGTAAACTGGATAAAAGCCACTGTAAGATCTATTTACCCTGAGAAGTGGGCTGCCCAACTCCACTTACCAATGCCAAGTGGAACACCCCAGAGGAAGCAACCAATAATATGCTTCATATGCAAGCCATTGGGAACTGGCTTTATAATGACGGGAATATTAACCTGGTGTTTTAAAAATATATTAACTAGTCTTTCTGAGCTTGCTTCCAACAGGCTCCAGCGTCCTACAGATGTGCCTCTTTTCTCTTTGAAGCTGAGAAACCAAGTCATGCTGAAGACCTGGAAATCCCAGCAGGCTGCAAACCAGCTGCAACCACCATGGATCAGTCCTTTTGAGATGCTGCTGATTACCCACTCATCCGCCAAGTTAGCCAGTGTTAAGCCATGGGTTCACCACACTCAGATAAAACCTGTCCCTCTGGCATCCCTCCAGAAAAAAACAGGCATGCTCTTGTGAACCCTAAGATGGCCTTAAGTTAATATTCAATGCCCAGCCAAAGACCCTAAATCAGAAATCATAAATGGAACATGTGCTTTTCAGGTTGGCATTATTCTCCCCAAAACCCTTCTTGCATGCAGGATATAATGAACCGAAAACAATTTTTAGTAATTTTTTTGAGACAGAGTCTCACTCTGTCACCCAGACTGGAGTACAGTGGCGCAATCTCAGCTCACTGCAACCTTCACTTCTCAAGTTCAAGCAATTCTCATTCTTCAGCCTCCCAAGTGGCTAGGACTACAGGCGTGCACCATCACGCCCAGCTAATTTTTGTATTTTTAGTAGAGACAGGGTTTCATCACTTTGCTCAGGCTGGTCTTGAACTCCTGACCTCAAGTGAGCCACATCTGCCTCGGCCTCCCAGAGTGCTAGGATTACAGGCGTGAGCCACTGCACCCAGCTATGAATCAGAAATACTTTTTAATAGGCTTAGGATTGTTCTCTTGGATTCGTTAAGGGATTCACTTTAATACTTGGGCATTTTTTTTTTTTTTTTAATCATGGTGCTCCAACAAGCAGGATGCCAATCAGGTGCTCCTGAGCCCTTCAGATTCAGGGGTGATGTTTTCATTTCCCATCATTATCCCACAATGCACCCCTTAGCATTAAGTAGCCAAAAAGGTAGACAACCATATTCCCCATGATTGAAAAATTAATGAATAGAAAAAGGGGATTAAAACCAGCCCAATTGTCCCATAGAAATGTTATTACAGTTTTTAAAAGAAACATAAAAACCCTTCCTGTTTTTAAAATTTAAAACTTACATTTATCTCATCTGAATTCCTTCCTCAAAAACAGACACTCAGGCAAAAACAAAAACCTAAAACTCATCAGATCACTGTATCCAGACGGAGACGCCAGACCCCTCATCCATCATGATTACTTCCATACTCCTCCTTAATTCCTGTTTTCCCACCTTTCCTGCTATATAAAACCCTCAATTTTAGTCTGTCAAACACACTTGAGACTTTATCTCCTATTCTCCTTGGCTGCAACACCCCATTAAAGCTTTCTTCCCCGGCAATACTTATTGTCTCAGTGATTGGCATTCTGTGTGACAAGCAGCAGGACCTAGACTGGATCTCTGGTGTTTCAGTAGCATTACCTTTTAGTAAATGCTGTTGTGTTGTGCCCAGATTCCCTTTATGAAACCCAGCTCCCACAGGTTAAAGGGCTCAGCTCCACAAGACTTCAGACACAAGCCACAAATGGGGTCCCCAGGTGACCCACACTTCTGCCCAGTGGACTATGAATTCAGGGGTTCTGTGACTTTCCCCACCCAGCTTTGATAATTCACTAGAATCCTCACAGAACTCAGGAAAATGCCATACCTACTATTACACTTTATTATGATGGACACACACGAGCAGCCAGATGGAGGGGTATTGAGGAAGGGTCTGAATGCAGGAGCCTCTGTCCCTGGGGAGGTGGGATGAGCCACTCTCCTGGATATGTTCACCAACTCAGAAGCTCTCCAAGCCCCATTGTGTAGGAATTTTTTTATGGCAGTTTCAGTAAGTACACATGATTGATTAAATCACTGGTGATTGAACTCCATCTCTAGCCTCTCTCCAGCTCTCAGAGGTGGGAGAGCAAGGCTGGAAGTTCTAACCTTCTCAGTACATGGTTGGTTTTTCCTGTGTCCAGGCCCCATCCTAAAGCTACCTAGGCCCCCTCTCCCCAGCAAAAATCATCTCATTTGCAAAAGAGTAATTTCCAAGGGGGTTAGGAGCTCTGTGCTGGGAACCACAGACCAAGATTAATATATATTTTGTATTATACCACAGGTACCAATCACCCTCCAGATCTAAGAATGGCTTCAGGCTGGAGCTATGGTCACCTCTTTACCCAGCTTCTCCCCTGCCCTATTCTGCTTCACTTGCATCCTTAAAGGTTTCACCCAAGAGCTCTTCTTCAAGATAGCACCTATAAAGCCAGACACCCTGGCATATGCCTATAATCCTAGCACTTTGGGAGGCCAAGGTAGGAGGATGGTTTGAGCCCAGGAGTTCAAGACCAGCCTGGACAACATAGTGAGGCCCCATCTCTACAAAAAAAATAATAAATTACCCAGGTGTGGTGCTGCATGCCTCTAGTCTCAGCTATTCAGGAGGCTGTGGCAGGAAGACGGCTTGAGCCCAGGAGGTCGAGGCTGCAGTGAGCTAAGATCATGCCACTGCACCCATCTTGGGCAACAAAGGGAGACCCTGTCTCTAAAAAAAATAAAAGCAATTTACAACAGTAAGCACCTGTACACAAACCCCATCTCCAGTCCTGTTTCTAGGGCTTCCAATTTAACACACCTAGAGGCTGGGCATAGTGGCTCATGCCTATAATCCCAACACTTTGGGAGGCTGAGGTGAGTGGATCACTTGAGGTCAGGAGTTTGAGACCAGCCTGGCCAACATGGCAAAAACCCATCTCTACCGAAAATGCAAAAATTAGCTGGGCATGGTGGCACACGCCTGTACTCCCAGCTACTCAGGAGGCTGAGACAGGAGAATCAGTTGAACCCAGGAGCTGGAGGTTGCAGTGAGCCAAGATCACACCACTGTACCCCAGCCTGGGCAATGAAGGAAGACTCTGTCTCAATAAATAAATAAATAAATAAATAAATAAATAAAATAAAACATACCTGGAGCTTTCTACATCCCATAGGTATCTGTGTGTCTTTCTCATGCCCTATTTGACGAAGAAATTCTTGAGCTCAAATCTATGTCTACTTTATCTTTACCTTCTTGTAACACCTGTCTCAGTGTCTTGCACATATAGAATGCTCAGTAAAGTTTTTGGAATAAGTATTTCATATTTTGGAATCATTTACAGAGCAGGGGTTACATTTCTGACTTGTTTTCTCTAGTTCTTATTCTGCACCCCCTGCCCTGCAAACCTGCCACATAAGCAGGTCATTTCTCCACCCCTCAAGATGAGGGCAAAGAACTTCAGAAACTGCTCACAAACAGGCCCCTGTGGAAATACCTCCAGGCCACTGGCATTCCTGCCTGCTGCCAGAGACCTGGGAGGCTGTTCACTGCCTTGAGTATTTTTGTCCTTTCCAACTTCTCTGCCCCATCAAGTTAAACAGTCCTTAAGAGTAAATAAATGTGGCAAAGATAAAACAAATATTTTTTTCCAATTGGATTGGTTCATTCCTTGTGTGGGTTCAGATGAGGGAGAACCAGAATGTTTTGATTAAATCAGCCTTTGCCATTAGCTGATTTGCTTGTTTACTAAAGGGCTGTCGTATTTCTTGTCATTATCTACCAAAGTGCGAATTCTTGGTATTGTTGAAAGGACTGCTCTGAAAAGGGAAATGGCAAGCTTCCTTAACCTAATGTTCTCACATAGTGTAAAAACACCAAATCAAAAGCATCAGGCAAATGCAACCCTGTAGAATTGCAGAGCAGAGAAATAGGAGGCATAAGTGGGTTCTCTCTACATCCCTTTCAAGAGTCTTACAGTGTGTTTCTGCTGACAAATTTTTCCACTTTCTTTTCTTTTCATATATTATATAGCCATCTCACCGGAGTGCTTCCATGGTTTGAGTTTCTGATAGGAAGATAGATAAGGTTGCTCCCAGAGGTCCCTACAGTTTGGGAACCATGGTTCTTCCCAACTTAAAAGGTTTTCACGATCACATAAGATGCCATTGCATCATCACGGTGGTGGTGCTTTAGTTATTAGTCCTCCAAAGTGATGGTGACCTCATACTAGTACTAACGATGATGACGCTAGATAACAAGTATCGTGTATATCAGGCGTTGTTCTAGTACTTTACATAAATTAATGTATTCATTCTCATCACAGCTCTATGAGGTAAGTACTTTAATATCCCCATTTTACACATGAAAAAACCTGGGGCTCACAGATGCTAAGTAACTCGCCCAAGCATAGAAGTTCTAAGTGGCAGAGCTGGGCTTTGAACCCAGGTAGTCTGACTCCAGAGCTAGGTTATAGTATGAGTCATATTAGCAGCCATTAGCATTTATTGAGCCTTAACCATATGCCAGAAGTGATTCTTAATTCTTTTGTTTAATAGTTGATCCTCCATATCCGTGGGCTTTGCATCCACAGATTTTTTTTATTAATTCCTTATGTGTATAATTGTCATTGATCCCCATGAAAAATCCTATCAGATATTTATCATCCTCATTTTACTGAAGCATAGACAGTCTAAGTAACTTGCCCAGAGTTACGCAGCTGGTGCATGAGGGAACCAGGTTTCCAGTCTCTGTGGAGTGCCTTCAGAGGCCACACTCCTAACTCCAGGTCTTCTGGTCTTGCTGACAGGTGCTATGAGCTTAGCTTTTGCTTTGTGGAACAGGTCCATACCACTATTGATACTCTGAAAGTATATTCTCTCTCCCCTGGGAAATATCCATCCAGGGAGCTATAGAACAAGCGCTCCCATGATCTCATCTGCAGTACACATCTGTTCTGATCTTTTTGTTGGCCTGCCCAGCATCTTCCTTCTCATTTTGGTAAGAGCACCCTAATTTCCTGTTGGGGAATGTATTTATTTTATATTGTTGCCACAACAAATGACAATAAACTTAGTGGCTTAAAACAACACAAATTTATTATCTTATAATTCTGGAGATCAGAAGTCCAAAATAGATCTCTCTGGGCTAAAATCAAAGTGTTAACCGGGCTGTGTTCTTTCCGGAGGCCCTAGGGAGAATCCGTCTCATTGCGTTTTTCAGCCTTTTTTCCTTGGCTGGTAGTCCCTTCCTCCAGCCTCAAGCCAGCAATGCCAGGCCAGATCCCTCTTATGCTGCCTTCTCTTTGGTGGTTCCTCTTTCACTTCTTCTTCTTCTCTTAAAGATCCTTGGGATTACATTGCGCCTACCTGGAAAACCTAGAGTAATCTCCCTATGTTACAGTCGACGGATTGGCAACCTTAATTCCCATTCCCCTTTACTATGTAACATATTCACAGATTCTGGGGATTCGCATATAGGCCTCTTTGGGGTGGGTTTGGGGACATTATTCTGCCTACTGCAGGGAAGCTTCCCTTTCTACTCTCAGACCGTATGTTCTGGATCAGTTCAACCCAACAACGGTGGCTCCCAGCGCAGGCTTGGAACTTGGACTGGGATTCTTGGGAAAGAGATGCTCCCCTTCTGATGAGCCAGTCTGATCACAGCCCATCTGCTTGGCAGATGGGTCAGGAACAGGGCCTCTCCCTGATTGTTCAGAACCCTTTCTGGACCAGCTGTTAATTCTGGTGAATATCCTTCCTCTCCGCTGCCGGCCCATGCACCAGCAGCTGATGTGTCCACCTTTGCCCGAGCATAAGGCAAGCTTTCCTAAAAATGAGGCCTCTTCCTCCTGCTGCTTCTTTAAGGAAACCTATGGAGTACTTGCAATCTCTAAAAAACAAACAAAGACAACTAGAATAAGATCTATTTAATGATGTCCAAAAAAAGCTCTCTTGGCAAGTTTGGAATCAGCAAGGAAATTAGAATCTGGCTAGGAGTTTACATAATCTGTAATAAGAATGAAAGATTCTTTTTCTACTTGTCTTAAATACATTCTCTTCAAAATCTGTATGCAGCTCTAAATAAATGAAGCCTCCTTGAGGGCATATTAGAGCATTGTCAAAGAGACCTGCTCATATGTAATGACCTGGAGGGAGAATGACAAATGTCTGGATTATACCATGCTTTAATATATTCATGCTGTAAGAATGGCCTCAGGCACCACACAGTCACCAAGAAGCCTGGCTGAGGGGCATTCAGAGAAGTGTAGAAAGGCAGGGGCATGCGTTCTTACTGACATTTAGCCATAAACCTGATTCTCCTTTTGCAAACCCTTCCCACATACCTTGAAGGCTTTTGTATCTCAAGGTCTTCTTGTGGGCCCAGTTCTAAGGTTGGGAATGGTAGCTACATCCTACGAGAAAGAGCCCTGGGCTAGGCAATCAAGTGGATTAGTGGCCCAGTTTCCTCAGACACATCATGCTAGGTAAGGAGAGTGGAGTTTGAGCTGCTGGGAGTTGGGAGCATCATCTACTCGGGCATCAAACTCAAGGTGTGGGTGAAGGCAAGAGCAAAGAAACAGGTATTTGAGTTGATCTTCAAGGAGGAGGCAGAAGGAGAAGCGGTCTGAAGTCAAGTCAAGTTCAGGACACAGATAAAAGTATCTTGAATTTCCCCAGGACCTTCCTTTACTTTTTATTTTTGAGACAGGGTCTCACTCCTGCTCAGGCTGGAGTGCAGCGGTGTGATCTCGGCTCACTGCAACCTCTTCTTCCTGGGCTCAAGTGATTCTCTAGCCTCAGCATCCCAAGTAGCTGGGACTGCAGGTACAAGCCACAAGGCCTGGCTAATTTTTGTATTTTTTGTAGAGATGGGGTTTCACCACGTTGCCCAGGCTGGTCTCAAACTCCTGGCCTCAAGTGATCTACCCATCTTGGCCTCCCAAAGTGCTGGGATTACAGGCATGAGCCACCGGCCCTTGTTTTTTAGATGTCAATGTAGCAAGGCGTGGTGATTAAGTGTGCAGCTCTGGATCCATCCCACCTGAGTTAGGATCCTGGCTTCACTACTTCCAAGCTGTGTGGCCTTAGCTGAGTTACTTACATCTCTCTGATGTTTTGCTCCCACAACTGAAAATGACAATGATATTAGCAACCTCACTCATAGTGTCACTGGCAGGATTACTTGAATTAAAGCTTGCAAAGTGCTTAGCACTGAGTTTGTTTAGGACTTACTGACTTGATTTGAGCATCATGTTAAACCATCTTTTGAGCAGGATTGTATACCAATATTCAGCATTAATTTTGATTCTTTTTCTAGTCTCTCTTTTTCTTTTTCAGCATCCTCAAAATTTAAAAAAAAAAACACAGTTGATATTCATTTACTAGGATCCTCCTGAAGGATACCTTCTTAGGTTTCTGTTATGTAAATGCTGTGTAACAAAAGACTCCAAGACCTTGTTGGCTTACCAAAAACATTTCTTTTTCATCCTTCTATGTAGGTCTGCAGGTGAGCTAGGGCAGCTGATTGGGATCAAGTCTACCCCACATTTCTGTCATTTGCTTGAGCCAACAGCTACCGGGGACAGTTCTCATGGTAAAGGACAGAGCCTGAGAAGCAAAGTCAAACCACATGGGCACATTTACAGCCTCCGATCATGGCCACTGACATTCCATTGGCCAAAGCAAGCCTCACGATCCAGCCCAACATGAGGAAGTGGGGAAACAGACTCCAATTTCTCCAGCAGGAGGCATTGTAGAGCAACATGGCAAAGAAAGGATACACTCCAAGGAGGAAGAAAAGAATTGGGATAATCCAATCCTATCACAGACAAACTTCATTTTTAATGTTGCCTTGTTTTTCATGGAAAAGAAGAAAATAACTACATAAAAAGGTCATGGCCAGGCACAGTGGCTCACGCCTGTAATCCTAGCACTTTGGGAGGCTGAGGTGGGTGGATCACCTGAGGTCAGGCGTTCGAGACCAGCCTGGCCAACGGAGTTTAGTGAAACCCTGTCTCCACTAAAACTACAATAATAATAATAATAATAATAATAATAATAATAATAATAGCTGGGCATCATGGTGGGCACCTGTAATCCCAGCTACCCGGGAGGCAGAGGTTGCAGTGAGCTGAGTTCACACCACTGTACTCCAGCTTGGGCAAC